GTGTGTGTGTGTTTGGATTCCAAACACAAAGAGTTACAAACAGAAAAAAAACAACAAGCCGTGAATATGGTGTTAACCAAAAACCATTATTATCTGGTACTTATTTTTATTCATTTCTTTGGAAAACAAAACAAAACAAAACAAAAAAAAAAAACATTACAAACCAACGCAATTTAAAGGGAAATTTTTTTTTCTTGTCAAGTTTCTCAAATTTGAGAATTGAATTACAGAAGAAATAATTTGAAAAATTTTTTTTTTCACAGCCCCAATTTTCAGTTTTCGTTGGAAACACACAATCACAAACACCAAATACAGACTTATTTTTCTTCTTTTTGGATGCAAATCTTTTATTCATTTTCCTACTGAGAAAAAACACTCGACATCATCATCATCATTATTTTTTTTTCTATCTATCTAATGATCAAGTTGAATGAAGAAGAGTTTTTATCATTTTTCAATAATTGGAGATTTTATTTTTGGATTTATTTTGAATAAAAGCGCCACCTATATATAATCATCAAAAATGATAAATTTGATATACCGGTAGTAATAGTATTCTAGGTATAAAGATAAAATTTAACACTGTTAGAACTATTCTGGTTTATTTGACAGAATGATTTCAAGTTTCAAGTCTTGCTTGCTTGTTTGCATCACATCCTAACCATCGGTGGCTTCCGGCAGTTCAATATAATAGAAAAAATACAAATAGCTCATATTGGTAGCAAAACAAAAACAAAAAAGCAAAAAGAAGAGAGAGAGAGAAAGAAAGAGAGAGAGAGAGACAAAAAAATTCACATGAATGACGTCAATCGGTTATTCGCCATTCAATTTATTATTATTATCATGGATAGTTCACATTGATCATGGGCAGCAAAAAAAAAAAAATATTCCACTGAGTTTGTAGATATTTATAGATCATAAAGAATAATATTTCCTCAGAATTACGCTATATATAAATCGTAAAAAAGTTCTAATCTAAAATTAATGTCCATGTGTGCGTGTATATATGTGTGTGTGTTTATATGCTACAAATCGCTTGACATTTTCATAGTATTGATTATCAATTCATTGATCTATCGATGATGATATTTTTCTATTTTTTTTTATGACAATCATAATGATTGAGATATATTTTTGTTTTTAATACATTTCCAATACAATATTCATACATGATTGTTACTGATTATTTTACTGGTATTACACACACACAAAAATGGGAATGAATATGGCAACGACAATTAGATTATCATCATCATCATCATCGTCATCATTATTGAAAACACACATCATCATTATTAATAATGAATGAAATTTGTTCATTTGATAATCAAGATTGATTTGATTATCAATTCGATTCGATTGAATTGATTCATTATTATTCTATATTTGAGTATCATCATCCACATCATCATCATACACATCATAATCAAATTGAAAACGACAGAGAAAAAAGAGAATTTGTTGTTGTTGTTGTTTTTTTGTTCTTGTTATATTCATAAAATTACAATGAAACTTTTTGCATTATTAAACAAGAAAAAAAATTGCACTTAAAAATGCAAAAAAAAATCAACGAATAGCATCGATCATAAGGTTGAATTTTAATGTGAAAAGGGGAATTGGATGCAAAACCAGTCAAAATACAGTCAAATGGAATCGAATGGTTTTTTTCAGGAACAGAAACAGAAAATCATGTGATGATGATGTCATCCTGATTCGGAAAAAAACCTGCCCATACAGGAAAAAAAAATTCAAAGGAACTTTGAAATTAAAAAAATCAAATTCAAGTACACACACACACACCACTTACCACTCGAACGAATGAATCAATGAGAGAAAAAAAAACTGCTCATCCTGAAAAAAACCATGTTACTGGAAAGATGCACTTATCATCACCAATGAATGAATGAATAAACGAGAAAAGTAAATCAAATAATTAATTGGAAATGGACCATAATTTCTATGGCCTATAGAATTGAATAGAATAATTCAAAGTAAAAAAAAAAGTTTGAAAAAAACAATACGAACCGCGAAAAAAAAATATTGTGAAAATTCTATCCCAAGAGAGTGGGCGCCACAGAAAAAAAAACCAATCGTGAATCGCGAATCGTGAATAACAAACAACGAAAAACATCGATGTTTAAATCAAATAAATCTTATATTGGAAACAAACAAACGAAAAAAAAACAAAGCTCATCAACTGAATATTTGCGTGTGTTATGAGTATTTTTTTTTTTATTATATTCTTGAAGAATTGAATGATAATGAAATCAATGATGCCCACAGCTAAAATGATAAAAAGATAAAATATTACAGTAGCAGTAACAGCAGCAGCAGCACACACACACGCACAATTCCCTGAGAAAATGCCATGTTCCTGGGAGGATTTCATTATCATCATCATGATGATGATGATGATGATAATGGATGGAATAGAAATGAAAATGTAATAAAAACAAAAAAAACAACAACAACAACAACAACGAATTCAATTCGGAAGAAATTTGATTTGATGAAAAAATATGTTTGTTTGTCGGTTTTGTTATTCGTTTAACTACATACTACACATACACATCCATCACACATTTATTTTGGACCATTTTTTTTCCTATTTACTTTTGCAGGTGCAAAATTTCGTTTTTTTTCTGTCGTTGTTGTTGTTGTTGTTGTTGCGTATTCACAATAGAATTCGCATTAGAATTTTTCCATTCATTTTATTCATCAAATAGTCATGTGAATTTATTGCCTTTTTTATACAAATTATTATTAATTCATCATATATGTGGTATATATATGAATTTTTCATTGAAATTCAACGAAAAAAAAAAATTCGAAATATTTTTTCTAAACTAACGCCATCTTTTGGCGGGAAAAACGAGTTTTTTGAATTGAAAATTTTTTTTTTGTTTGGTTTTAATTTCACAAATAATAATAAGATAATTTCAATTTAATAGATCGATAATAATTTGAAAAAAAATTTGATTAATCATAATTGAAAAAAAATTAAATTTCAAAAAAAAGAGAGAAAAAATCCATTCATTTCAATACAATAATTAATAATTAATAATAATAATAATAATAATGGTGTATAATGTGAAGAAAAAGAGATGGAAAAATTTGATTTGAGAAAATACAAATTTTATATAAGGTAAAATTATATGCATGTAAAGTAATCAGTCATTCATTGTGTTCGGAAGAACTTTTTTTTTTTTTTTCTTACCATGACAGAAAATTGCAAGTCAAACAAAAAAAAAAAATTAAATTCACCAGGATTTTTGACACATTCATCCAAAAAAAAAAAAATTTTTTTTTCTTCAATAAAAAAAAATTAATTAATTAATTAATTAATCAGTGAATGATGATTATAGTAGAGTAGCAATGTAGAATGGATAGGAAAATTAACAATTTTCATTGTTACAGAGCAAAAAAAAACAACAAACAAACAAACAAACAGAAGAAATGAATGATGAAAATGGACTAACAAACAATTTGAGTGTTTGGAAATTTGAAATTTTTGAACTTTTTTTTTTTTTTTTTTTTTTGGTCAAATTATTATTATTATATTGTTTTGATTCTACCAGCTCTTCAACAGAAAGATTCTGGTTATGTATGGTTCATTCTTGATAATTTGATATTGTAAATTCATACAGAATATAGAACTAAATATAACATTATATGTTTTGTTTTATATTGGGCAGTGTGCTTGGCTTTTGTTTTGTTTTATTATCAATTTGTTGTCAGAATTTTTATCAGAAAAAAAGTGTGTGTGTGTGTGTGTATGTCTTGTACTTTGTTTGCAATGATCATGGGATTATAGTGGGCGTATTCGCGTGTGTGTGTGTGTGGTGTGTGCAATTCAATAATAGAGCAATATGTCCCGGCATTCATGTGAAAATAAAAGAAAAACAGAATAATAGGTAATTTGTTTTTGGATACAAGAATAAGAAGAAAAAATAAAAATGATAAAAATTTAAAAGGAACATTGAAAATATACAAAAAAAAAATAAAATAAAATCAATCCAGAATCGGTAAAGAATGTTCAATATATGTGTATATATATAGGGATTGTAAATGTGTAGAAAAAATAAATAATAAATAAAAAAAAAAAATAAAAAGAAGAACAAGAAGAAGAAGAATATCAATCATATGATGAATGTGTATGTGATGATGATGATCGAATAATCAATAATCAATAATCAATGAAAAATAAATAAATAAAAATTATTCTCGTGATGAATAAAATTTGAACAATATGAAATATGAAAAATAAAAAAAGATGAAAAAAAAAATCTTGTTTTGGGACAATCAATCATTCGATTATCGATTACGATCGAATTCAAATAATAATTAGTATTGCACACAATCGGCCCTTTTTTTACTTCTTTTTTGTTGTTGTTGTTGTTGTTGTTGTAATTATAAGATTGGTGTATTTTGGTGGTGGTGATGAATTGGAACAAAAAAAAAAAATAAAAATAATTACAGTGTACCTAATTTGAATATGAAAAAAAAGAGTATTGATCTTCAAAAAAATCTGGCAAAATAAAATTGAATTTGATTGACTCGATAACTCAGTGTGTGTGTGTGTGTATGTGTAATCGATTATCAGTTATCGGTCAAGAAAAAAAATACGAGCTAGTTTGCACCCAAGTAAATTCATCATTTCATGAATTTACCGTTTTTGTACGAAAATGTAAGAAATAAATAAAAAAAAATTGAAAATAAAATAAAAATGTATGTCACTAGGGAAAAATGTGAAAAATGAAAAAAAATGATCAGTCAATCAATGAGAAGAAATAAAAAAAATTGAATTAATTAAGGCTTTTTTGGTGGTGAGAGATAAAAAAAAAAAAAGAATTCAGAATCGTTTTAGAAAAAAGAATTTCCGAAAAAAAACGCTGATGGTTTTTTTTCATTCATTGTGTTTGGCAGCCTTTTGTTAGCTTTTTTTTCATTCATTCCTATATATAATAATAATGAAAATTGAAAGTAAAAAAAAATCTAATTTCGGTTGAAAATAGGCTAAAAATAAATTAATATAATATATAATGCTGGGTGGTAGATATATCGATGATTGCAATGATGATAATGATATCAAAGTATTGTGATTCAGGTGTGTTTTGTACTCGAAGATTATTATTGTGAATGAAAGTTGAAAAAATTTGTACAGATATTTGAATCAATAATGAATGAAGAACGACGAATGACGAATAATAATGTGTGTGTGTGTGTAAACGAACGAAAATTGACTTAGGATAATTATAATTAAATGATGATGAATTGAGCTTAATAAATGTTGATGATCATGGATTGTGATATAAAATAAAATTAAATTAAATCAAACAACAGCCAATGATGGTGGTTGATTTGAAGCCGATTTCGGTGGTGAATGATGATGATGATGATGATGATGATGATTATGGTGGTGGTGGACATTTGTTTTGTTTATGGTGGTGGTGGTGGTGGCGGCTGTTTGTTTCATAACAACAACAGTATGTGTAGGAAAATGTGTTTGTTCACTTGATGAACTTTCATTACCATCATCATCATCATCATCATCATCATCATGATCTATTAATGATGATGAAACGGTTGATAAACGATCAGATATGGAATAATAATCATCTTGCATTGATAATGAATCATTTTCATCACAAACAGATGATGATGTTGGTATATCAGCCATTGATATGACACCTGAACTTTGTTCATCAATTTCATCAACAATGGCTAATTGTCCATTACTTATAATGCTAATTGTTGAGCTATTACTATTATCATGATTATTATGATCATCATTATTATTAAATGGTTTAATTAATGACGGTGGTTTTGTTATAGAATTTGTTGTCATTTCATCTTCTTCTTCGTCATCATATTCGGCTGGAAATTCATCTTCATCATCAATTTCATCATCTTCATCGTCGTCGTCGTCGTCGTCGTCGTCGTCAACATCTTCATCGTCTTCATCATCATCAAAACTATTCATCTTTTCATTATGTTTAATCAATGCTGGAACCGTTGATAATTTACCATCATTTTTATTGCTTGTTTGATCAATTTCCATTGTTGTTGATGATGATGATGATGTGGTGGTGGTGGAGGATTTTGTTGTTGACATTGTTGCAGTCATTGATCGACAACTACATGGTTGAAATAATTCCGGATAAATCAATACTTCATTGTTGGGACCTTTGAAAATGATGCCGCAACAAATTTTCTCTCTAAATAAACAAAATATATTAGTGATATTTGAAATATTGGAAATTTTTCATACCTTTTCCAAATATTTGCATCTAAAAATGATACAAATTTATCACGATATAAACGATTATGTTTTTCATTTTCCTGTTGTTTATTATTATTCGGTTGTTTTTTGAGCATTTGTTGATTATTATTGGATTTATTGGTTGTTGTTGTTGTTGTTGTTGTCGTTGTTGATGTACGATAATGATATGTGGACAATAATAAATCATTATCATCTCCACCACCACCACCACCACCGGCTGCTAATCGTGTTGAACGTCTTAATCGACGATTATTATTTGTACTTTTGGCCATATCGACAACATCGTCAAGACAATCGACAACAACATCGACCATTTCCATATCAACATCGGATGTTGATTCCGATTCATCTGCCGATGATTCACCACCACTACGTATTGGTGATGATGAATATTTACCAACAAACGATACTGAAAATGAAAATTTAACACAAAGGAGAAAAAAAAATCAGAATTAATAAAAACGAAAAAACAGTTAACGCACTTGATCATCATCAACAGGTTTTTGTTCAAAATATTTTCAAAAAGGTAAATTCAATTAAATTATCAGGAAACGAAAACAAAAAAATCTAGCACAAATCAAAATATTACTAGAAATAACACCATTTTAATCCCTTTAGGATATTTAACCCGTTTAAAACATGGATAATCTTAAACGCTCATGACTAGCAAATCTAGGCTAAATTATGATGATAATTAATGTGTTGCGCAAATCATTAAATAGACAAGAAAGAAACAAGTGGATTGCCTTGAAACATTCAGCGAATCGAATCGAATCGAATCAAATTAAATCATTCTAGACACTTACATTTTGAAGCATTGTTGTTATTGTTGATTTTTGAATTTCTATTCATCGAAGTTGTATTGTCAACATTTGTTGTTGTTGTTGATGATGATGATGATGATGATAATCGATGATGACGACGACGTTTATCATCCATATTGGTTGATGATTTTGATGATGATTTAAATGATTTTGTACCTGGTCCAGCACGTGCATCGACAACATGATGCCAATTTTTATTTGTACCAGTGGGTAATTTTTTCCATCGTTTCACTAATAATACACAAGCATTACAAATTTCACCAGTACGTTTTTCATCGATACGAAAACATTTTTCAAATTCAGCTTCATATTTTTTACTATCAGTAAAACGTGATGATGATGATTTTGCACGACAAATACAGCAACCAGAATTGGAACGATAAATTTTCGGTTTATGAAAGCTAAACATTTTTGTTGATTTCTTTTTCCGTTTTTTATCTACTAATTTCAGGATATTTTCGTCGTCTTCGTCTTCGTTATTGTATTCTATTGTTAATAATGTCGCCAGTTCGATTGTAAAAAAAAAAATTGAATTTCACTAAAATGAACTAAATTAGAGAGTCAGGAAGAATAAAAAAAAATTGTATTTGCTGAGATTGAATTTTTGTTTCAATTTAATATCGTCGTCGCCGTCGTCGACGTTGTCGTTATATATGATGATGATACGTTTTTTTTTTTTTTGGGAAAAAACGAGACAGAGACAAATAGAATAATAATGCAAGTCAGATCCTGTGTGATAAATTAAAATTGCTATAAATGTGGAAAGAAAGAGAGAGAGAAAAAGTGCAAAGAATTAGTAAATTGATAAAGTGTTAAATCAAAAAACAATTAAAAAATGATAGTCGATTGACCAAATGTGAGTCATTATTCTACATGACACACACACACACAATAATCAAATTGATTGTCAATCAGCTAACAAAATACACACACCCACACACAGAGAGAAAGAATGCAGTATCACTATGATGATAGCCAAGTAAAAATTATCATTACATTATCATCATTGAAAAAAAAGAGTGATCAATATCGATTCGATAATGAAAACGACATTGAATCATCACGTAACATTATTGGTGAGACAAAATAATAATTCACATTTAAAACGACCGAGAAAAATCAATCAATCGATCAAGGTTCAAAGATTGAAAATGATTTGATCTTTATGGAAAATCATCGGGATCATTTTTATTTATTATAACGAGTAATTACAATTGTACGATGGTACATTTTTATGTATACCGGGGTGCAGAAAATTTTTTCTAAAAAAAAACGTATATATAGAGAGGGTGCACAAGCATATATGCAAGACCAAAGAGTTTTTTCATTCTAGTTTCATACTGGTTTTAACCAGAAAAACCATTCAGTTATTTCAACATGAGGATTCAATACACACACACACACACATGAACAACATGTGTGTCGATGATGATGATGATGATGATTTTAACACCAGAACGTAATAATAAAATGAAACAATCAACCGGAATATAAAGGAGAAAAAAAAATTGTTGATAAAATGATGTAATATGAATCATTTCTGATACATTGGTAACAAAAAAAATGTCATCGCCTTTGATGGATTATTTCAACAATATTGGCAATAATCTAAAAAAAAACAACAACAAACTGGCATTTCTAAACACACAAATACATCATATCAAAGACCAATGACATCGAAAATGAATGGAAAAAAAACAAATCAAATAGCAACCTTTTTTTTGGTTATAAATCTGCAAACATAGATAGGGTTACCATTGACAAACAATTGTCTTTTATTTTTACCCTATATATATACACACACACATACAAGATATTTAAACAATTATAAAATTCTAATGAAAATTCCATGTGGAATTTGATTATCGACATTTTGTTTTTCATGATGATGACGCCAATATTTGGCAATAATAATAATGTTGTGGATATTTGGATGGCTGGCGTCAACAGAAACAAAAAAAAAAAATTATTTAATATATATAATTCAATCAAAGAGAAAGTGTACAAAGTGAGAGAGAGAGAGAGAGAGAGGGGAGAGAAACCGGGCGCCACAAATGATGATGATGATGATGATGACGAAGGCAATGGATGATGATGATGATGATTGGAAATCGTCATCAATGACAACTACCGCTTCTGCGCAAATTCAATTACAAAAAAAATAAGGATTGAATTTTTCCAAAAAAAAAAATGATGACGAATATGAACAGACAGCAAACAAACAAAAAAAAAAAAATGTTAAATGGCATGGCCAATTCTCTTGATTTAATGTCATGATATTATTTTTGGATCAGTTTTTTTTCCATTTTGGTATAACAACGGAATGTTTATACCGGAACCTGAATAGGTGTCTAAAAATAGTAACACACACACACACACACACATTCATACAAAGATATATATAGAATGCGTGAAAGAGAAATAATTTTGAAACATCCACACACCACACACACACACACACAACCGGTGATATTATTCAATGGTAATCAAATTACAAAGAAAACAAATGATAATTGAATGTCAATGTCGTGGTTCGATAATGATGACAAAAAATTAAAATGAAAAATTATTAATCAAAATATGACGGAAGTTTATCCAGGTCAATATCATAAAAAATGTGAGAGATTTGAAACAAAAAAAAAAAATAAACCGGAAACAACAAAACTTGACACTAAAAAAAAGACAAACCTCGGATATATTATTGAAAAGCAGCCGGATATTCACATGGTAGTGGACGTTAATGTTTTTGGAAAAAATTTTAATAAGCAAATTTCAATATTGCACACACACAAATAATCGACACAAATAAAGTTTATCGATAAAATTAATGATGGATTAAACATTTTTTCAATTACCATCAACGTCAAAATCAAAAATGATTATGAAAAAAAATGTCGGAAAACACACAAGTGAAAGCAAACAAAAGTCAAAAGGCAAAAAAAAAAAAAATATATTCAACTGATCAAGCGACCGATTAACAATGTGATGGTTATGAACCGAATTTCTTGTTGTGTCGTCGACAACGACCCAGAAGAAGAAGAAGAAGAAGAAAGAAGAAACCATCTCACATCATTGGCATACTGGCACAGAAATAAAAAAAAAAAAAAAAAATATAAAACAGAAGCAGAAACTGTACTAGATAGGATGAATCTTTTACAACAGTGAAAAAAAAAATGTTTGTGCCAATGTTGTTGACGATGATGATGATGATGATGATGACGCCAAAGAGAGGAGAAAATATAAAAAAAAACACACACATTCAATGAGAATAGAGAAAAGAAATTGAATGAATGAATGAATGAATGAAATAAAATATAGTGAAATCACATTGGTTAAAAAAAAGAGAGTCTCGACAATACTTTTTTTTGGCGTAAAAGATTCTATGCCACCACCACCACCATCATCATCATCATCATTATCATTAAAATGATGATGGGCTGGCGCCAAGAAAAAGTATCGTCGCAAGCGCATAGATAAAACGGTATTTCCTCTTCTTTTTTTTCACATTCAGGGAGCCATTCAACATACATACATACATACATAGTAGGGAAAAAATTTACAGCTTTTTTTGTGTTTGAAAAGAAAAAAAAAGAGAAACGAAATGAAAAAAAAATGCAATGTGACTACTAAACACACACACACACTACAATACAAATATATTCCACCGGCGTGACCTAGTTTAAGCTATCCATCCATCCATCCATCCACTTATCCAACACACACACACACACACACACAAACAACAAGAAGAATGATGATATGTTTGACTTTTGGCTCCCGCTTGTATACAAGACACAAGCGGGAGTATGTCGAATATTTATTTTCATTTTTTTTTTTTTGATTAAAAATTACAAACACTCATCCCCCTTCATCACACACTGGTTATTAAGACATTTGACATGACTTGTAACAGTAAACACAAATACAATTCCTGAATTCAAAGATAAAAAAGATCAAAGGGTCAACCCGTGTGTGTGTGTGTGTGTGTTTGTGTCAGACTCGTGTTGGTATGTAAACATATTGCCTGACGCCAGAAAGGTAAATATAGAAAAAAAACTGTAACCGGAAACAAAAGATTTCGCCGATCATACACACAAGCTTAATAGTATTGGAACTTTTACTTTTTGTTCCATCTTATAATGGAAAAAAAACATTGAAATTGATATTAAATATGTGTGTGTGTGGGTGACCGGTTTATACATTGACTAATTAGCGGTATAAACAACACCCACAGGTATAACTTTCAATTTCATTTTTTTTTTCATTTTATTTTATAAGTATATACTGTACACACTATTTAATGTTTTCTATTTAGGAATTTATTTATCACAACAACATTGTCATTGATGACGGTTGAAATTTTCTTTTTCATGGTCTAAAATATGCATACACCGAAGAAACACACACACACACACACACGTTTTTAGACTTCGAAAAAAAAAATAGGCGGAGTATAGGCTGTGTCGTTACCATCATCATCATCATCATTATCATCATTGAAAATAAAAGCAACACAAAAAAGATATATCTGTTTCAATGTCATCCACATATACATTTCAATCAAGTAACATTTTATTGATGATGGAAAATGCTTTGGGATTTTTTTTTCTGTTTCAAACAAAAAGAGACATCACACACCAACTACTTCCGAATCGAGAATTATCAGAGACTAAATAAAAAAAAATTCATATCAATCAACAAATCGATATGGAAAAAGGTACAACAAGAAAATAGTGCAAAACAAAACAAAAAAACATTTTCCGGTTTGCAATAATCAATAACCCAAAATAAAAATACGCGTGGCAATACGTGGCGTCAACACGTCGTCGTCTGTTTCTACTTTGATTCTACTTCTATTACTATCAATTTGGCATTGATAATAATGACATTTTTTTTTATCTGGTGAATGTCATTAGTATAAATGAGTGATGATATCCAAGAGAGATAATAAAAAAAAAAAAAAAATACCTGATGATGACAATATTATCTATTCTTGAGTACAATTTAAAAAAATTGTCCATAATCGAGATTAAGGCCATTCGTTGATGATTATGATGACCATGATGATGATTGTACAAATTCAACAACATTTTTTTCTCCGACATTACATAGTTCCCCCTTCTTCCCAATTCTTTTTTTTTTTGAATACAATTGAATCGTAATAATGATAATTATGTTATATATATATGAATTATGGCAAGAAAAAAAGCTAAGCTTCAGGTAATCACAAGAGAGAACGAAAGAAAGCAAAAAAAAAATTGTTCCAATTGGAACACTCGACTATCACGCAATACTTATTATTATTATTACTAGTTAACAGGCAAAAAAAAAAAATAACTATCTATTGTTGTTAAAATTGTATGTATCCATCTTTTCATTCAAAAAGATGAAAAGTTTATCGAAAAATCAAAATATTTTTTTCCTGAATAGTATGTCATCAAAGGGTGAAAAAAAAACAAATTTTCAGTCATCATCATTTCAACATTTCAAATGATGATGATGATGATGAAAAAAAAAAACAAAAAGATATGGCAATGGATTTAAAATCCATACGTACATAGAGAAACAATGGAGAGAGAAAAAAAAGAAAGCGAATGTTTTTGTTTTGTCCATCAAAATAACACAACGATAAATGATAGCTCTACTGACCTCATTTCTCTCTTTATCTCATACACACACAATTACAGAAACCAAAAAAAA